AGATTAAATGTGTTATTGGTACATGTTCCAAAATTATGAAAAAATCCTATAATTCTAATATGACTTAGCATATGTTATTAATAACTGTTGCATAACATTTTGTATGCCACAGAAGTAACCAAAATTTCCTAGTCAATGTGGCTTTACTAGTGGCTGTCCTAAGACTTTTTTTTTGAGATGGAGTCTTGCTCTGTCACCCAGGCTGGAGTGCAGTGGCATGATCTCAGCTGACTGCAACCTCCGCCTCCCAGGTTCAAGCATGTCCCCTGCCTCAGCCTCCTGAGTAGTGGGATTTTGGGTACCTGCCCTATGCCTGGCTATTTTTTGGATATTTGGTAGAGATGGGGTTTCACCATGTTGGCCAGGCTGGTCTCGAACTCCTGACCTCAAGTGATCCACCCGCCTCAGCCTCCAAAAGTGCTGGGATTACAGATGTGAACCACTGCACCCAGCCCTAAGACTTTTTATCATCCACAGACAATTGTCTTGTTTTGATCTTCTTTAGACGGTGGTTTATAATCAGCCATAGGACTTTAACAGGTGCACTTAAATGCAGGTTTCTGAAACTTTGGAGATTGTGACATTAGAGTAGAGGAAACAACTTTCAGAACTCTCATGGAGAGCTGAAATGTTCATAGATATCTAACAAAAGTTAACTGCATAAACTAAAGAAGACTAAAGCAATCTTTTTGCCTTTGCTTAAAACATTGCTGATCCTTTGTTTTATTTTTCAGAATCAAGGTAACTTTTCTTTTCAGATATTTACAGCTTTTAACAATCCAGTAAAGTACACTCCTGTGAATAACACTTGGAGAATATTTATCTCTCTACCTGATTTCTCCAGAATTTGGAAATTATTTGTGTGTATTCTTAATTTATGGCAATGCAGTTATTTGCATAAGGGTAATAATAATCTGTTTTCTTTTGCAAGAGGACACAATTGGAGAAATTGGTTATTTTACCAAGACTTTGACTGGAATGGTGTGCTTTCCATTAAGGAATCAAACTTGACTTGTAAAGCCTATAAAAGCCACTTAGTTAACTGAGCTCATAACCTTGCCTACACAGTCCCTGTACAGGGTTTCTGACCTGTGGTAAGTAAAGAATGTCACCTTCTAAAAGGTCCAGGAGCCCCAAGTTATCTTGGGACCTCAAAAGGAGAGGAGGAATTTACCCAACTCATAGGTATGTGAGGGTACAAACCCATGACAGGGCTCAGCTCTAAAAAAGTCTTATCTAAGATTCTTTCTATGGAACAGAGTTCCATCAAAGACAATTTTAAAAGCCTATGTGAAAATTATTTATTCTTGCTGCACTTTATACAATCATCAGGCCAAGTATAATAAAGCACATCAGTCTTACCATAAAAATGGTCTTTCATAAAAATGGGAAACTGGAGAGAGAAAAATTGTTTCAAGAATTATGATACACTTGTTATTAAATTCCAGTCTCAGCAGTTGTCTTTAAGTTTGCTTCTGCGATTTAGGCTAACCCTACTTAATCCTGTGAACCAATCAGTGGCCTCTGACTGCTGCTCAGAAGAAACAAGAGGGATGGGTAATGTAAAAATCTGCATCAATATTCTAATTCTGGGCATGTACTGGAATCATCTAGCAACCCCGTATCAGCATGGTTCCAACAGTTCCTCAGTTCGTGGAAAGCCTTCTAGTTTAGTTTACTTGGGATAATTTTACTTATTTTGCTTTACTATTGTGGAATATATAGCTGTTGTAATCTTTGTATAGGAATGCAGGACAAGCTTACTGAATGTTTTCTTAAATTGAACACTTACAAATCTTCCAGAGTATCACCTTCTGTCAGAACTCATGAGTGGCCCTCATCATACCAAAGCTCCCTTCCCTTCCCTTCCCTTCCCTTCCCTTCCCTTTCCCTCCCTTCCCCTCCCCTCCCCTTCCTTTCTTTTGAGATGGAGTTTCATTCTTGTTGCCCAGGTTGGAGTGCAATGGCACAGTCTCGGCTTGCTGCAACCTCTGCCTCCCAGGTTCAAGCGATTCTCCTGCCTCAGCCTCCCAAGTAGCTGGGGTTACAGGCACCTGCCACCATACCTGGCTATTTTTTTTTTTGTATTTTTTAGTAGAGACAGGGTTTCACCATGTTGGCCAGTCTGGTCTCGAACTCCTGACCTCAGGTGATCCGCCTGCCTCGGCCTCCCAAAGTGCTGGGATTACAGGTGTGAGCCACCCTACCTGGCCCATACCAACACTTTCCAACTGAACTCCTCCTACCATGAATATGAGAGATGCTGAGAGTTAGGCAAAAATATCATCACCCCTATTCAACCTGAAGAACTTACAGCAGATGGATCTTAGTCCCTCTGCAACCCTTAGGATTAGTGGTTCTCTTATAAAAGGAAGGGGGGAAATGTCAGAGGCATGTGAACCAGAGCAAGTCTATTTTGAATACGAGCTGAGTAAAAGAAGAGTGAGACTTACTGGGCTGCATTCACAGATGATTAAGGCATTCTAAGTCACAGGATGAGTTAGGGAGGTTGCAATAAGATACAGGTCATGGCCGGGCATGGTGGCTCATGCCATGATAGTTTATAAATGCCATGGCAATGACAGGAAGTTACCCTATATGGTCTAAAAAGGAGAGGAGTGAATAATCCACCTCTCGTTTAGCATATCATCAAGAAACAACCATAAAAATGGACAACCAGCGGCCCTCGGGGCTGCTCTGTCTATGGAGTAGCCATTTTTCTATCCCTTTACTTTCCTAATAAACTTGCTTTCACTTTACGAACTCGCCCTGAATTATTATTATTATTATTATTATTATTATTATTATTATTATTATTTTTGAGACAGAGTATTGCTCTGTCACCCAGGCTGGAGTGTAGTGGCGTGATCTCAGCTCACTGCAACCTCTGCCTCCCGGGTTCACGTCATTCTCCTGCCTCAGTCTCCTGAGTAGCTGGGACTACAGGTGCTCGCCACCATGCCTGGCTAATTTTTTTGTATTTTTAGTGGAGACTGGGTTTCACCGTGCTAGCCAGGCTGGTCTCGATCTCCTGACCTCATGATCCACCTGCCTCGGCCTCCCAAAATGCTGGGATTACAGGCGTGAGCCACTGCACCTAGCCTGAATTCTTCCTAGTGTGAGATCCAAGAACCCTCTCTTGGGATCTGAATTCAGACCCCTTTCCTGTAACAAGATTAGGCATCAGGAGAAACTGACACACATGGATGATATAACAGATGCCTCAACGGATCCTGTGGGGGAACTGGAGCTGGAACAGCCCTTTAGAGTTGTTGCAAAGCAAGGCAAAGAGGCTAGACTTTTATATCCCTGCATCAATCAGTGTTGGACATGGGCTCCATGAGGGCATGTAACCTTCAGTGATGCACCTTTCTGACTTGAAGGGCATTGCCCAATGAGGGAGGTAGCTATGTGGTATCAGCAGCTGATATTACCTGCAGCTAGTGCATGGGCATATTGACTCCCAAGGGAGAATCTGGGTGGAGCACTATAGTATTCATTAAACCCAGTAAAGAAATACTATTTCACACAGATGTGCCCAGGACAGTGGTAGAGCCCACAGAGTTACATAAGTCATAATGGTAGCCCTGAAGAACCTCATAAACTGTATATTGTAATTTTTTAAATTGCATATTGTTTGTTTCTACCTACTAGAACATAAGCTCTAGGAGGGCAGTGACTATGTTTTGTTCACCACTGTTTCTCCAGTGTCTAGAAGTAGATTCTTTGAATGCATTCAATTGCAGGCTTGAGATATGAAGAAGTAGGAGTGTGAAGGCCTCATGTCGAGCCATGTCAGGGGACGCAAAGATGGAGCATTCTCTAACCTATGTGAGACTCGGCATAAGGGAAGTACAAGCACTCAATGTGTGGGTTTCATTCCCACAGTCTATGGTCTTTAACCCAGTCTCTCCAGATGCCTGTTGAGTTCTTCAAGCATCCAAATGGTTTGGGGAAAGGCTTCAGGTTCTAAATGAGAGGCTTTGTGGGTTAACGGACGGAGAGTCAGAAGATGTGGATTTGAATTCACTCAGCCATGAAATAGTTGTGTGATCTTGGGCTGGGCACAGTGGCTCACACTTGTAATCCCAGCACTTTGGGAGGCCAAGGAAGATGGATCACTAGAGGCCAGGAGTTTGAGACCAGCCTGGCCAGCATGGTGAAACCCCGTCTTTCTTTTTTTTTTTTTTTGAGACAGAGTCTCTCCCTGTCGCCCAGGCAGGAGTACAGTGGCGCAATCTCGGCTCACTGCAACCTCCGCCTCCCTGGTTCAAGCAATTCCCCTGCCTCAGCCTCCCGAGTAGCTGGGACTACAGGCATGCATCACCACGCCTAGCTAATTTTTTTGTATTTTAGTAGAGATGGAGTTTCACCATGTGGCCAGGATAGTTTTGATCTCCTGATCTCATGATCTGCTTGCCTCGGCCTCCCAAGAAACCACGTCTTTACTAAAAAATATCAAAATTAGTCAGGTGTGGTGGACCTGTAGTCCTATTGACTTGGGAGGCTGAGGCAGAAGAATTGCTTGAACCTGGGAGGCGGAGGTTGCAGTGAACTGAGATGGTGCCACTGCACTCCAGTCTGGCGACAGAGAGAGACTCTGTCTCAAAAAAAAAAAAAAAAAAAAAGAAAGAAAGAAAATTGTGTGATCTTGGAGAGTTCTAAGGCCCACTGGCTTCATCTGTAGAATGGAAGCAATAGTATTACTTTGCAGAACTGACTTCAGGACTAAGAGATCTAATGTATATGAAGCAGGGTACTTCTTTCGATTTGTCAGGATGGAGGAGGCTAGTCCTGTGACGAATGGGAATGAATGACAGAAGAGACAGATGTTGGGCAAACCCCAGGCTCTGTGCTCATAACCTGCTCCCGGACATTCTCCTGTTATCTCTCTGTTTCCTAGCCTACACACGTGCACAGACAGTAGCTGCTGTTCAGGAATTGAGCTAATGGTTTTAAAGTCTGTTCCTTATCTTTGCTGGGGGCAGGCAGTAGCTGTGCAGTGGCAGTGTGCCTGTGCAGACAGAGGGAGCAGTGAACAGTGATAGGGTGTTTCCACCATGGTCATCACTCAGGCCCCGGCTGGAATCAGGGGCCACCTCCGGATCCGCAGCCTCCTGGCCCGGCAGTGCCTGGCAGAGTTTCTGGGTGTGTTTGTGCTCATGGTATGTAGGGTCACTGGGGAAAGGAAAGAAGGGGGTGGGCAAAAGTTCCTGACTCCTTCTGGTGTCCTTATCTCTTTCTCTTGGTGTCCCCCTTCCTCCCAACTCCCTAAGCGTTTTCGTTTTTATCCTCTCATCTCTCGTAATCTCCTTTCCTCTCCTTCTGCATCTTTTTTATTCTTGTCACTTTTCTTCCTTTTTTCCCACATTCTTTCCCTTTCTTCTTCCTCCACTTTCCCCATTTCTTTTTTTTTTTTTTTTTTTTTTTTTTGAGGCGGAGTCTCGCTCTGTCGCCCAGGCTGGAGTGCAGTGGCACGATCTCGGCTCACTGCAAGCTCCGCCTCCCGAGTTCCCGCCATTCTCCTGCCTCAGCCTCCCGAGTAGCTGGGACTACAGGCGCTGCCACCACGCCCGGCTAATTTTTTTGTATTTTTAGTGGAGACGGGGTTTCATTGTGTTAGCCAGGATGGTCTTGATCTCCTGACCTCGTGATCCGCCCGTCTCGGCCTCCCAAAGTGCTGGGATTACAGGCTTGAGCCACCGCCCCCGGCCCACTTTCCCCATTTCTTTTCCCTTCCCTCCTTCTGCTTTTCTCCTTCCCTTGCTTGTCTTCCGTGCCCATTCGTGTTCTTGGCTTCTCCCCTGGCCTTCCCGACCTTTCTCCCTGTTGGTCTCCTGGGCTCCCTGTTCCTCATCTCTCCTCTTTTCACCAGCTCCTCACCCAAGGAGCTGTGGCCCAGGCTGTAACCAGTGGAGAAACCAAAGGCAACTTCTTCACCATGTTTCTGGCTGGCTCTCTGGCCGTTGTGATAGCCATCTACGTGGGTGGTAACGTCTCAGGTGAGGAGGGTGGGGTCTGGTCATCGGAGCAGGTGGGACGTGTGTGCGAGCGTGTCTGTCTGGTGATGGTGGAAACGCAAATCCTTCTGTGACTTGTGGACATTATCTCCTTGACTAGTGCCCCGGACTGAGATAAGCCTTTAGCCCCACCAGCCCGTCCCCTTTCTGTATCTCTCCATCCCGTTTCCTCACACTAATGCTTGGCTCACCTAGACAGAAATCAATGGCAGGGCACGAAGGGCAGGTGCTATCCTCTTGTGTCCCCCACCTGAATTCCTCTGGGGGCTCATCTCTGTTCAGGACCTCTCGTTTGTTCCCCAGATACACACTGCATCGGTGTGCCTGGCTGGAGCCTTGAGACATAGTGTGTTGCTGTGGAAAAAGCAGACAGACCTAGGTTCCAACCTTGGATTCAGTGTCTTCTTCTTCTTCTTTTTTTTTTTTTTGAGATGGAGTTTCAGTCTGTTGCCCAGGCTGGAGAGCAGTGATGTGGTCTCTGTTCACTGCAACCTCGGCCTTCTGGGTTCATGCGATTCTCCTGCCTCAGCATCCCGAATAGCTGATTTTGCAGGTGCCTGCCACCACGCCTGGCTAATATTTGTGTTTTTAGAGGAAATGCGGTTTCACCATGTGGCCAGGCTGGTCTGGAATTCCTGACCTCAAGTGATCCACCGCCTCAGCCTCCCAAAGTGCTGGGATTACAGGCGTGAGCCACTGTGCCCAGCCCACAGTGTGACTTTGCTAAGTCGCTTAACATCCTGGAGCCTCAATTTGCTAAGCTGTGTGATGGGAATTATACTACCTGCCTTAAGAGCTGTAGGAAGGAGCAGCAGTGTTGTCTGGTGACAATGCCTGGCAGTGACACTTGATAGATGCTGTTTTTCTTTCCTTGATCCTTGAAGGGGCCCACCTGAATCCAGCCTTCTCCCTGGCCATGTGCATCGTTGGACGCCTCCCCTGGGTCAAGCTCCCCATTTACATCTTAGTGCAGTTGCTGTCTGCTTTCTGTGCTTCGGGAGCCACCTATGTTCTCTACTATGGTGACAGAGGGAACAGAGGGAGCCGTGCCTTGGGAGCACCTGTGGGTGGCCAGGGGTGCCTCAGAATGGTTTTGGATGAATGAGCAAAGAGGGAAATCCTGGGTGTTCCCCTCCTCCACAGATGCCCTACAGAACTATACAGGTGGGAACCTGACAGTGACTGGCCCCAAGGAAACAGCCTCCATTTTTGCCACCTATCCTGCCCCCTATCTGTCCCTGAACAACGGCTTCCTGGATCAGGTAGGTGTGAGGGGGAGACCTGGGGACACAACTTTCGCCCCATTCCTCGGGACCCCAGCCTATTGTTCAGTCTCTGGGTGGAGTGTGGGTTGGGTCTATCTTGGCGCCCCCCACCATCCCCAACTGCCTGTGTTGCACAAAGCCAGATGACATGGAATATTTGGATGAGAGAGGGCAGACGGAGCACTCGGCAGCTGACAGGGAACCCTCTGCCTCTGTTGACTCCAAGGTTCTGGGCACCGGTATGCTGATGGTGGGGCTCTTAGCCATCCTGGACAGACGGAACAAGGGAGTCCCTGCGGGTCTGGAGCCTGTGGTGGTGGGGATGCTGATCCTGGCCATCGGGTTATCCATGGGTGCCAACTGTGGGTTTCCACTCAACCCTGCCCGGGACTTGGGCCCACGTCTCTTCACCTACGTGGCTGGCTGGGGTCCTGAAGTCTTCAGGTGGGAGATAGCCTCCCCTGGTGCTGGCCTCCACTCACCTTCCTCTGCTAAGGGCTCTGTCCCTGGGTCCACAGCACTCAGCCTTTAAATAGCTCTCTTGGCCTCTTAGGACAGTGTTCTTTCTCCAAGTCACATGCTCCCCCTTTCTCCCTTGCTTCCCTCCCAACTTTTCACTGAAATAGTAAGATTTAGAGGTTGTGTTCTTAGGCATGCCATATTACCTCCGTGCACATTAGCGACTTCATCAGCAAAATTAATATATTCAGATAATTCCCTAAGGCAAGAGGCTGGACCAAGCTCTCCTGGGGTTCCGTCTTCTAAATACTATGCTTTGGTGCCAAGGTCTCTTCCTGGTGTCTACCACCCTGGGAACAACTTTAGGGCACTCTCTTGTTACTACCCCCTGTCCTTGGAGAGGGGGAGGCAAAGGGAGTCACTCCTGATACCTTCCCATTGTCCTTCTTTTGCAGTGCTGGTAATGGCTGGTGGTGGGTGCCTGTGGTGGCCCCTCTGGTGGGGGCCACCCTTGGCACAGCCACTTACCAGCTATTGGTGGCTCTGCACCACCCTGAGGACCCAGAGCCAGCTCAGGATCTGGTGTCTGCCCAACACAAAGCCTCAGAGTTGGAAACTCCTGCCTCAGCTCAGATGCTGGAGTGTAAGCTATGATTAGGACAACCCTTACTTCACTCATGGACCCTGGAGCCAGCCACTGACCCCGCCTGGGAGCAACAGTTATTCTTCCCCTTTGTTAATGTGCCAGAACCTGGGAGGCTTCTCTGTTTACCCATTTGGCATCCCTTCTTCCTAAACTAAGAAGGATCCTGGACAGGGAGAAGTGGAGGAGGATAAGGTACCAGGACTCAGGCTTCTCATTCCCTCCTTCTGCAAAGCGGTTTTCTGACCCTCAAGGCCTCTCGTAAAGTAGTTGCTCGAGGTAGCCGCTAGAGGGTGCACACCTGGCCGCTGGATGGGGACTGCTCCGGGCATCTGCAGGGTGGAGGGGGCCCCCATCCAGTGTAGGGCACAACCCTGGGGACTGCCCTCCGTAGCCTGTCCCGACTGCCGACTCCCAGCTCGCATCGCCTCGGCGCCTCCCACTTTCACCCCCTCAGGGGCGCCTCCCCCAGAGGGTGTTGGGGGCCGTGTTAGGTGTAGGGAAGCCGCCTCCACCCAGGGGGCGTGGTGGGGGCGGAGGGCGGGCGAGAGGGCGGGCGGAGGGCGGGCGAGAGGGCGGGCGGAGGGAGGGCGAGAGGGCGGGCGGAGGGAGGGCGAGAGGGCGGGCGGAGGGAGGGCGAGAGGGCGGTGGAGCACAGAGACAGAGAGCAAGGCGGGGAAACTGAGGCACCGTTCCTAGAAATCTCGGTGCTGTGTCGTTCATTCAAAGAGAGTTGAGAAACAGTGAAATGAGCCAGGGCGAGGAGGTAAGGTGAAGGAACCGAGGGCGGACGGCTCCGAGGTGCGAAAGTCTGGGGCTGAAGGCAACCTAGCGCTGGGGAAAATTCTGGTTGTTCACCACTTCTACAGCTCTCCTGCCGCTCCCTGCAGAGGATGCTCGTTTTGCAGAGAAGGCAGTGTTCCTCTATTCCCTTCTTCCGAATTAAAAAAAAAAAAAAAACAACCCTCAGAACGATGTAGCCTCCCGAATTGTTTTTTCTTTTAAGATGCGGATGAGTACGTGTGGCGAGTTCGCGGCCCGGCCACGCCGAGCCTCGGAAGGGCTAAGACCCTCCCCCTGCCCCGCACAAAGATGGCTGCTCCCTCTTCCCCGCTCCTTCTCCCCTCCCCAAAACCCCCTCCCGCCCCCCGATCCCCGCCGCCGGCTCCGTCACTTCCGCCCCGCCGTGGCCGAAACTGACACAAAGTAGCGGGCCGAGGCCCCGGTGGAGCGGGGCCGCAGCTGGGGGGGCGGGAGCCCGCGGGGAGCCGAGCCGAGCGCCCCCCGCCCCAGCCCCCGGCATGGGCAGTACGGGGCCGCCGGGGCGGGCGCCGAGCGCTGAGCGCTGAGGTGAGGCGAGGCGAGGCGAGGCAAGGCGGGGGCGCCCGGGAGCGCGGGGCCGGGAGGGCAGAGGGAGATGCGGCCGCAGCCGCGGGGCTGGAGGGGCCCGGGAGCGGGTGTAGACAGGGGAGCACCAGGGGCAGAGAGTCGGGAGCTGCGTCCAGACGGGACGGAGGTGGCTGCCGACTGGAGAGGAGGGGCTGTCGGGTGCCCGGGGACGGGGTAGAGCGGGGGGCTGTGTGTGCAGGATGGGAGGATGGGGTGCCGAAGGGGCGCGTGGAGAGCAGGAGAGCGGCGCGAGTGCCAAGGAGAAGCTCGTGCAGTCTCGGCCAGGGGAGACCCGCCCAGAGAGTTGTTGGGCGAGAGGAGTAACCGGGACCCGAGGGTTTGGTGCCTGGAGAAGGGAGTTTGGGCTGGTAGGCTTTGTCTCAGTAAGGTGGAGGTCTCTGCCTGAGGAAAACTGAGGGTGTCAGGAGGGGCGGTAGCTCTGGGACATGATAGCTGTGCTGGGAGCCCTGAGTTCTGTCCTTGGTGAGGGAAGGTGGCCCGAGCTCGTGTTGGTGGCCAGTGAGCTGGGGGTCTCGAGTTCCAGTTCCTCCTGTTTCCCTGACCTGCCAGCCTCCTCTGAAAGAAGTGGCCAACCTTTGGGGCTCTTGCTTGGAAGGGAGCAGGGATCGGACCTATAGGAGGAGCTGTTTTCCTCCATGGAGCATTGCCTGCTTGCCGGGGCTGGCTATTTTTATCCCAAATGTGGCCGAGAGGGGGCTGGGGCTGGGTGACCGGGCAACGTGGCTGATGGGCCTGACCTGCTCAGAAAAAAACCCAGGCTGTGTGAGACTTTGAGAAGGAAAAGTGAGAGGGGATCCCTGTTCCCAGGTTTCTCCTCCCTTCCCCTTGGAATGATGGCCCCCGCAGAGGGGATGAGGTCTGGGGCCAAGCCTGCTTCCAGTCTCCCCAGGGTCTCAGAGGTAAAACAACTTTCCTGGTCCATATCCAGACTCCTGACTCCTGACGGCGTGTGCAGCTCTTACATTAACTCTTTCATGGGACTCAAACTCAGATCTTTAGGCTGATAGTGCTTCTTGATCCCTTCCTCCCCAAGGGCGGGGCTGCCCGTAGAACTTGTGATGTCCACCCTTGCATCCTTTAACCTCTCCCTGTGCTCCCCACCCTCCCGTGACTCATACTCAGACTGGGTGGAGACCCTGGCTGGGGGCCCTGGAGGAGGGCTTGGCATCTCTAAAATATGGATGAGGTTTTTCTTCCTGAGCCAGGCACCCTGGCCTGCCATAGTTGGAGAAGGTCAGGGATGAAAAGGACTTCTGGTTTTCAGGATTGCCTGACCTGGTGTAAGGGCGGGATCTGAGCTAGCGCAGGGAGAACTGGTGTGGGTGACTAGGCCATGGGCAGAGTCTGTAATTACAGAGGTTGGCCAGACAGGCAATTAGTATCTCTTGGGGCTGACAGGCTGGTGGGGTATGCCTGGTAGGCTAGAGGCAAAGGGAACCAAAGAGGATGAGGAGGTGAAAGGCCTTCCACCCAGAAAAGGAAAGAGGAGGTGACTGGCTGGCAGTTTCCTTTGGGCCAGGCTGGGGAGTAAGGATGAGGCTCTGCCTTGTAAGGCCAGGCCTTGAACCTTTTGGGAGAAAGAAAGGACATGGGAAGGTGGAAGCAGGCAGAGGCCTGTCTCACTGGTGCTCCCTGAACCTGCATCCTGTGCCATACTGACTGGACTAGGCTTGGAGTGGGATGGAGGGAGGGGCAAACTCCCCACCAGGGTTGGGAAGACCCCTCTGGCAGCCCAGAAGGGTGGCTGACCCAGGCTGAAGGGAAGCTGTTTGGGGACTGTGCAGAGAGTGAGGGCCATGCCTCTAATGGGAGCTCCCCTGGAGGAGGTGATGATGGAAGCCCTAGTAATGGGGGGTGGGGATGGCAGGGAACTTATAAGCCTTTCGAGAAGGGTGGAGCCTGCCCACCCTATTTCCTGATGCCCTGCCAGGTGTTTCCTGGCTTATGTTCCCTCCACCCCACCCTTTGGGGAAACTGCTTTCTAGTAAGCACAAGCACTACTCATTGCCACCAGAACACATGAGAACCTCCATTGTCCCTGGGATGGATACCTTGAGAGCTCTGCCCCTTTTTTCAATATCTGGCCTCTTCTCCTTTCCCTACAGGCATGGGCTTCTGTAAAGTATCAGTCCCCCATGTCACCCAAGGGAGGGGCATGATGGGAGGTGGTGGGGGAAGTCCCCTCTTTCCCAGAGACCCATCATGGCAGTAAGAGGAGAGACTGGGAAGAGGAGGCTGGGGGAGGGGCAGGGTCAGAGCTGGAGAAGAGGGTCTTCAAAAGAGGTCTCATGAGGGGAGGGAAGGGTTACCCTCAGTTTCCTGACCTCATTCGTCTGTCACTGCTTGCAGGGTCTCCCATGGGATTGCTGGGACCTTGCTGGGTGAGATGGCACTGTGTGCAAAAAAGCGCCCCCCAGGTAAGACAGGCAAGGAGGGGAGATCCCGGGAACCATCAAGAGTGGGTGTTGTTATGGCTCAGGGAGCAAAAGGAAAAGGGACAACTGGTATGGGTCTGAGGGAGGGTAGCTTACAGCAGTCTCTACCAAGCTTAGGGGGAACCTAGGAAACCGAATTCTTCCGCTTGATCCCAAAGCTGGGTTATGTGCCAGGACGGCGCTGGGCACCTACGCCCCGAAACACCTGCAGTCTTATCGTGGGGCACCTGCAGCTCCTGCTCTCTGGCCCAGGGAGCTGTGTTCTCATCTCTGCTTGGTCCTCTCACCCCCTCCCTGCTCCCCTCATTTTTTCATCTACCAGTCCTTCCGGTTTTTCCGCGGGCGGGGGTGTGTGTGCGTGAAAGCGGTTGCCCCCAACAACGCCGGCAGTCCGCTCACCCGCATTGGCCGGGCCCCCGCATTGGCCGGGCCCGGGGGTGGGAGGGGAGGCGGGGCTCGCGCGCGAGCTTTCGCCTACGCGGCGCGTTGGCAGGCTGCGGCTCCTGCAGTCGGGGAGCGGGCGGGGGCGGAGCCCTAGGCGTGCTCGGCGTGTCCGGGGCCACTCAGCGCACGCTGGCATCCGCCAGGGGGAATGGGGGGCGGCGGCGGCGGCGCAGCTGAGCTCGCGGTGTCCCCGAGCGCCGACGGCCGGGAGGATGGCCTGGGCTGCGGGTGGGGCGCGTGCCCGACAGCCGGGGCTTCCCTCTGAGCGGCCGTGGCTCCTGCACCTCCCCGGGGTGCCGCCCGGTCGATGCCGCTAAGGCCAAGGACGTATAGACGGTCTGCCCGCCCCCACTCACACCGGGATCATGACGGTCCCCAAGGAGATGCCCGAGAAGTGGGCCCGGGCCCAGGCGCCTCCCTCTTGGAGCCGAAAGAAGCCCTCCTGGGGGACAGGTAACTGGAGGCAGCACCTGGCAGCTCTCCCGCACCCATTATTTCCCCACTCCAATCCCTACATTCATTTGTCCCCAGCCTTCCCCTACCTCCCCTGATCCTCTTTCCAGACCCAGAGATCCTGGCTCCGAAGGATCCAGTCCCTACCTTCTTCCTTTGCATGGTCTTTGGTGATTGCGCAGGGGACTCAGCCCAAGGGAGCCCCTCTAGGGAAGTTTATGGGAGTGAAGTGGCTTGGTAGGCAGGGGGCACTGTGGCCTGGGGTTTTGTTACTGCAGTGTGCTCTGCAGGGGTCCTGGGGTGTGTAGAAAGGGTTCTGGAATGCTGTCTTTGGCTCCTGGACAGGTTTAAGGAATTAGGTTTGCTGCCACCAAGTTACCCCTTTTTGCAGCATGAGGTCATGGTGACCTCCAGGGAGATGGGCTGGGGAATCTATTATAGAACAGCTCCTTACTCTGGGACATGAATTTGGTGCCTGCAGTCCCAGACCTGCAAAGGTTTGGGATAGGTTTACCTAGACGGGTGTCACTAACTGAGTGACAAATGAGCCCTTTAAAGGGAAATGCGTGCAGATGGTACAAGGAAAGTCCAGTTAGAGCGCAGCTGTTTCCATTACATTTCATTCCTCCCACCTCCATCTCTATCTCAGTCTGCATGACCCATATCCCTGAAACGCCCCCCCTCCCACTTTTCTACTTGAAGATGAGCTTTGAAATAAGATGATGTCATTGTGGGCCAGTCAGAAGCAGCTGCTGGTGACATGTGACAAGCAGAGGCTCCTGTAGGGGGGACTGCACGTGGGGCTGGGATGCTGCCGCAGAGCAGCTCCAGGGCACAGTGAGCCTCCTTCTTGCCACCTACCCAACCCTCCAAATTAGGGAGACAGCAGTACTGCTACTAGATCTGCAGTGGTCCCCAGGGGGAAGGAAACTTTACGTTTTCAGCGCTACTCCTTGATTATGACGATATATGCATTAATAATAGCAGCAAAGGGGGCTGGGGAATCCCAGGACTGTCAGTGGTTAAGATTCCTCTGCAGTGGGGGTGGGGGAGACAAACTGGGTGCTCCCAGTGGAAGACTGTGAAGGTTGGTGGTGAGGAAAAGAGAACATACCCTATCCTGTGAATGTAACCTGGAGAGCCGTGTGGTCAGGCTGCTGGTGAGAGGTGGACTGGAGGGAAGAATTTGATGTCCCCCCTCAGTTGTGGAGCTAATTCCTTAAAATGATGTTCTGTGGAAAAAAACAGGGAACCCCCACAAAGTGTTGGTCCAGAGCTCAATTTGCTCCTCCTGACTGCAGCATCATTTTGTTGCAGAAGAAGAAAGGAGGGCGCGGGCTAATGACCGAGAATACAATGAGAAATTCCAGTATGCGGTAAGTGACTCTAGACCACCCGTTCCCTGTCTCTGTTTGGAGAGGGGAAAGGGGCAAGGACAACCTACCCTTGGGACTGAGGGCTACCTGGGAAGAGTGGTTGGGGGAGGGGAAGGCAAGCTCCTCGGCCACTCTCAATCTGCTACGGTGCTGAATTTTTCATGCCTTCACCTGTCAGTGAAGCAGAATACATTGACCCCCTTGAGACTCCCATCTCTCCTCCCCTTTCCCACTCCCACACCTGTGTTTGCTGGCTTTTGGGGTAGAGGTCTGGGGAAGTATAAAGATGGGGGAGGCAGCCTCAGTCTGGTTCTGGGTTGGGGCTGGAGGCTGCTCATTATCTTCTCTCCTACTGCCATAGAGTAACTGCATCAAGACCTCCAAGTACAATATTCTCACCTTCCTGCCTGTCAACCTCTTTGAGCAGTTCCAGGAAGTTGCCAACACTTACTTCCTGTTTCTCCTTATTCTGCAGGTAGGTGACCCACAGTAGATTTTTTGCAGCTCCCCAAACTTAATAAAGCCAAGGAAGAGGAAAGGGAGTGAAGGCATCAGATGGGGCCTCAGAGGCATACTTCTCTTTTTTTTTTTTTTCAGTTGATCCCACAGATCTCTTCCCTGTCCTGGTTCACCACCATTGTGCCTTTGGTTCTTGTCCTCACCATCACAGCTGTTAAAGATGCCACTGATGACTATGTGAGTTGGTTTCATTCCTCTGTTTTGTCCCAGTCACCCACCCCTACTCCAACCCCCACCCCCAACTCACAGCCACCTTCACCCAGCACAATTTCTTGGTGACTTTGACATCCCTTACCCGGTCCGGCTAGATCTCTGATGTCTTTTTGCTGAGGGTGGGGAGGCGGAGTCAGGGAGTGAATTGGTTTGTGATGGGGTATATATGAGGTGTTACCCAGCATGCTCTGAGTTCTACTGATTAACGAATTCCTTTGAAGCGAGGGAAAGTGTCTTACCTTTCACAGTTTTCTTCTTTTCAGTTCCGCCACAAGAGTGATAACCAGGTGAATAACCGCCAGTCTCAGGTGCTGATCAATGGAATGTGAGTGCCTGTTGGAGACAAGAGCTCTGGGGAGGAAGGGGGTCCCCTAGGAACCTCTTTAGCTCCTGACAGCCTCTTCACTGTCTTCTTGTTGCCTCAGCCTCCAGCAGGAGCAGTGGATGAATGTCTGTGTTGGTGATATTATCAAGCTAGAAAATAACCAGTTTGTGGCGGTAAGGGACAGGGTACCCCTCTAGGCTGGTAGGGTTCTTCCTCTTCTTTGTCAAAAAGGGATGAATCTTTCCTGATTTACTGTTGCCTCGTAAACACCCATGGCAGGAAACTTTCTCACATCAGAGGCTTCTCTGTCATGCTGATATGCCTGGGACTAGCCATTTATGCATCTGGAACTAAGCAAACCGAGAATGCTTGGATGAAGGAGCCACCATCACAGCCCACTGGGGGTGGAGGTTTGCATATTTGGACTTCTCATTAGTTTTTCTCTCTAGGCGGATCTCCTCCTCCTTTCCAGCAGTGAGCCCCATGGGCTGTGTTACATAGAGACAGCAGAACTTGATGGGTAAGTGGCATGCTCAGTGTCAGCCCTCTCCTTCTGTCTCTTTGGAGGTAAAAAGATTGTCTTTGAATGAGGTTCTCAGGCCTGGGCTGTGTCTGAATTTGGAAAAATTAGGGTAAGAAGAGCTTTGGATGGGATGTGCAAAGTGTTATTCGGCCGGTATTTGCGGGGCTAAGCAGTTATACACCATGCTTAGGTGTCACCAGGTAGAATTTAGAGGATGGGGAAAGGTGGGTATGGTGACTCACTCCTGTAAATCCTAGCACTTTGGGAGGCCAATGTGGGAGGATTGCTTGAGGCCAGGAGTTTGAGATCAGCCTGGGCAAGATGGTGAGACCTCGTCTCTACACACACACACACACACACACACACACACACACACACACACACACAAAATAAATAAATAAATAAAAATAAATCATTTTAAAAATTAGCTGGGTATGGTGGTTTTAACGCCTGTAATCCCAGCCACTTGGGAGGCTGAGGCGGGAGGATCGTTTGAGCCCAGGAGTTCGAGGCCTTAGTGAGCTATGATTGTGCCACTGCACTCCAGCCTGGGCAGCAGAGCAAGACCCCATCTATGAAAAAAAAAATACTTAGAGGATGAGGAGGGATCGGGGACTCAGGGATACTGTCCTTCTAGTGAGACCAACATGAAAGTACGTCAGGCGATTCCAGTCACCTCAGAATTGGGAGACATCAGTAAGCTTGCCAAGTTTGATGGTGAGTAATTTTGGGGGAGCAGCCTGAATGTAGAGGAGGGGCGTTGGGTTTTGCTTGGGGGCGTTAAATTATACCTTTTCATTTGGACTTTTTGTTGTTGTTATGCAACTTCCTGGACTGTTTTGGGGAGGGGAGTGTTGGTAATGTCATTTGGCTCCCTCTTGATTGTGAGTTGATAATTATTTCAAGGGAACTTTGTGGCTGATAGCTCCCCACTTGCTATGCATGTTGAGAGAAATTCAGCATATTCTTTTTGCTTATTAGCTCGGAATAATAATATATGTCCCTTATAAGACAAACCATACAAAGTGTATAAGAAAAAGTGAATGAAGATCAGTACCATGACTCACGCCTGTAATCCCAACACTTTGGGAGGCCGAGGCGGGCAGATTTCTTGAGACCAGGAGTTCGAGACCAGTCTGGTCAACATGGTGAAACCCTGTCTCTATTAAAAATACAAAAATTATTAGCTGGGTGTGGTGGTGTGTGCCTGTAATCCGAACTATCCGGGAGGCTGAGGCGGGTGAATTGCTTGAACCTGGGAGGCGGAGGTTGCAGTGAGCCGACATCGTGCCACTGCACTCCAGCCTGGGTGACAAGAACGAAACTCCATCTCAAAAAGAAAAAAAAAAAACATAGAAAAATTAGCCAGGTGGCGTGGCGTGCATCTGTTGTCCCAGCCACTCGAGAGGCTGAGGCATGAGAGTTGCTTGAACTAAGGAAGTGGAGGTTGCAGTGAGCTGAGATCATGCCACTGCACTCCAGCCTGGGCAACACAGCAAGACTCTGTCTCAAAAAAAAGCAAAAAAAAAAAAAAAGAAAATAGCTCTTCCTTCTTCTTCTACCCTGCTCAGATAGCCACACTGACAGTCAGTGTGTGTTCATCCACACTTTTCATACATGTTTGTACAAACAAATATTAGGTCATGCTGCTGCTTTTTTTTTTGAAACACTCTGTTGCCCAGACTGGAGTGCAGTCGTGCAATCTTGGCTCACTGCAACCTCTGCCTCTCAGGTTCAAGCGATTCTCGTACCTCAGCCTCCTGATTAGCTAGAATTACAGGTGCCCGCCACCACGCCTGGCTAATTTTTGCATTTTTAGTAGAGACAGGGTTTCGCCATGCTGGCCAGGCTGGTGTCGAACTCCTGACCTCAAATGATCTGCCCATCTTGGCCTCCCAGAGTGCTGAGATTACAGGCCTGAGCTACCGTGCCTGGCCTGCTTCATTATTTTCCTGAAGAGCTGCATCAGTTCACACTCCCACCAGCAGGGTGTGGATGGGCCCTTGTTCTTGTATCCTCTTCCCTCAGTGCATTTTCTCTTTGTTTTATTGTCTTGTGGTCAGGCTGTAGACTGGACCTTGAGCAGTGGAATTTTTGTCTCCTGTTCAGGTGAAGTGATCTGTGAACCTCCCAACAACAAACTGGACAAATTCAGCGGAACCCTCTACTGGAAGGAAAACAAGTTCCCCCTGAGCAACCAGAACATGCTGCTGCGGGGCTGTGTGCTGCGAAACACCGAGTGGTGCTTCGGGCTGGTCATCTTTGCAGGTGAGCCTCCTAGCATCCAAAGAAAGAAGGGTAAGAGGGACCCAGCCAGCCCTCCCTCAGGAGTATGGGATGAGGTGGGAGAATACCTAAGGTAAAAAACCTCCAGCTATGTATACAGGCCTTTTATCCAGCCAGTGTCTCTATTCCCCCTTGGTGTCCTGCAGTCTGGGGATCAGGGCAGAAGCCCAGAGGCAGATGTGTTACTTGGCTTTCCCAGTCCTTCCCATTTTTTTCCAGGTCCTGACACTAAGTTGATGCAAAACAGCGGCAGAACAAAGTTCAAAAGAACGAGTATTGATCGCCTAATGAATACCCTGGTGCTCTGGGTAAGGCGCCCCACATCTGGTCCCTGCCCCTGCCCTCGGCTTCTCCCTGGGTGGCTCCTTTTCCTTTCCTCTCTCTTCTTTGGGCAGTAGTCTTCAAATTTGGCTTTAAAGCCACTAGCAGGTCAGCTACACAAAGGCAGTGTTTATTTTAGGCTCCTTTTACTTGGAAGATGTTATTTAAAAAAACTTTAGGAACGTGCATGAATCAACAACTTAAAGCTAAAACAAATCATCCCTTCTCTGATTCCAGTTCTGATGATGACTTTGTAAAGCATGTGACCTTCTGTTTGCTTTTGCCAGGGACAAGGAGGCCTTCATGGGGATGGAGAGGGAATTAAAAGAAAAATTTCCATTTGGAAGAGGTTGGCAGGGTCTTTTCCCCCCAACTTCTAAGAACGAAGGATCCCAAAGGAAAAGTTTCTGTTTTGGTTTTTGGCAATTCCTGAATCCTTCTCTTGTTTAGCTAGAAATCTGAACTCCTTGTTGGGCTCTCCTCCCCTTCCTGCGCCCTGACTGTCTGCTGCCTGCCCCCTACATGCCAGCTTGCAAAGGCTGGGGCCGGCCTCTGGTGAGCTGGTTTCCGCTCTGGCTTTAAAGGGTGTGCAGAAACCCAGCCTGCTGGGCGTGGTTGTCTATCACATAGGGGGCTTCAGTCGCCCCCTGGTGGTCATTGGGCACCAATCTCCTATTTTGTTTCAAAGCCTCAACAGTGGAGGCAGCTTTGGAAATAGATGTAGGAAATTGGACAGTGGTCTGGTTTTTTACCAGTCTCTCCAGAGACTCCAAAATTTATAAGATTTTTGACTAATCAAGAAATCTAGACCGGGGTGGTGGCTTACACATGTAATCCCAGCACTTTGGGAGGCCAAGGTGGGAGGATCATTTGAGCCTAGGAGTTCGAGACCAGCATGGATACCATAGTGAGACCCTATCTCTACAAAAAATTGAAAAATTAGCCAGGTTTGGTAGCATGCACCTGTGGTCCCAGTTAGTCTGGAGGCTGAGGTGGGGGGATTGCTTTCCCGGGGGATTGAGGCTGCATTGAGCTAGGATCATGCCACTGCACTCCAGCCTGGGCAACAAAGCAGGACCCTGTTTCAAAAAAAGAGAAATCTACGTTTATGAAGGTATAGTTTGTTTCCCAAGTTTTTTTTAAAAAAGGCAATCTTGGCCGGGCGCGGTGGCTCAAGCCTGTAATCCCAGCACTTTGGGAGGCCGAGACGGGCGGATCACGAGGTCAGGAGATCGAGACCATCCTGGCTAACACGGTGAAACCCCGTCTCTACTAAAAAATACAAAAAACTAGCCGGGCGAGGTGGCGGGCGCCTGTAGTCCCAGCTACTCAGGAGGCTGAGACAGGAGAATGGCCCGAACCCGGGAGGCGGAGCTTGCAGTGAGCTGAGATCCGGCCACTGCACTCCAGCCTGGGCTACAGAGCGAGACTCCGTCCCAAAAAAAAAAAAAAAAAAGGCAATCTATGTGAGATAGTGAACGTTATTGTGGCTTGGCATTTTTGTTGGCTTGTGGAGGCCTAGCCCAGGTGAATAGATGATTTACAGTGAGTTTTGTGGTATGTTAAGAGTAGCTCATACCCACTCTTACCAACTTTGAGGACTCTGGAAGGTTTCAAGGTGCCAGACCGGGAGCTAATCAACTATTTCAGTTTCTTCATCATATAGATGAAATAATGGTCAGACAGAAGGCCACGTGATAATTGGTGACAGACTAGAACCTGTCACCAATTCTGAGCTTTTTCCACTAGAGCAGGGGTTTCCAATATTTTGACCTCCCTGGGCTACATTGGAAGAAGAATTGTCTTGGGCCACACATAAAATACACTAACACTAACAATAGCTGATGAGCTTAGAAAAAAATAATTGCAAAAAATAACTATTTATTTATTTAATTATTTATTTATTGAGACGGAGTCTTACTCTGTCACCAGGCTGGAGTGTAGTGCAATGTCATGATCTCGGCTCACTGCAACCTCTGCCTCTTGGGTTCACGTGATTCTCCTGCCTCAGCCTCCCTAGTAGCTGGGATTACAGGTTCCCGCCACCATACCTGGCTAATTTTTTGTATTTTTAGTAGAGATGAGAGATGGGGTTTCACCATGTTGGCCAGACTGGTATTGAACTCCTGACCTCATGATCTGCCCGCCTTGGCCTCCCAAAGGCGTGAGTCACCGCACTTGGCCTTTGTTTGTTTGTTTGTTTTTTGAGACAGGGTCTTGCTTTGTTGCCCAGGCTGGGGTGCAGTGATGTGATCTTGACTCACTGCAACCTCTGCCTCTCGGGTTCAAGCAATTCTCATGGCTTGGACTCCTGAGTAGCTGGGACTACAGGCAAGTGCCACCAGGCCTGGCTAATTCTTTTGTATTTTTAGTAGGGATGGAGTTTCACCATGTTGGCCAGGCTGGTCTCAAACTCCTGACCTCAGGTGATCCATCCGCCTCAGCCTCCCAAAGTGCTGGGATTACAGGCATGAGCCACTGCGCCCAGCCCATAATCGTTTTTTTTTTTTTTTTGGTTTTTTAAAATTATTTTTCTTTTAACATTCAGCTGTTACCAAAATCTCACAGGTTTTTTTTGTTGTTGTTGTTGTTTTTGGTTTTTTTGAGACGAAGTCTCGCTCTGTCACCCAGGCTGGAGTGCAGTGGCGCAATCTTGGGTCACCGCGAGCTCCACCTCCCGGGTTCACGCCATTCTCCTGCCTCAGCCTCCCGAGTAGCTGGGACTATAGGCGCCCACCACCATGCCCGGCTAATTTTTTTGTATTTTTAGTAGAGACGGGGTTTCACCGTGTTAGCCAGGATGGTCTCGATCTGACCTCATGATCCGCCCTCCTCAGCCTCCCAAAGTGCTGGGATTATAGGCGTGAGCCACCGCGCCTGGCCTCTCATAGGGTTTTTTTTTTGTTTTTTTTTTTTTTTTTTTTGAGACGGAGTCTCGCTCTGTCGCCCAGGCTGGAGTGCAGTGGCCGGATCTCAGCTCACTGCAAGCTCCGCCTCCCGGGTTCGGGCCATTCTCCTGTCTCAGCCTCCTGAGTAGCTGGGACTACAGGTGCCCGCCACCTCGCCCGGCTAGTTTTTTGTATTTTTTAGTAGAGACGGGGTTTCACCGTGTTAGCCAGGATGGTCTCGATCTCCTGACCTCGTGATCCGCCCGTCTCGGCCTCCCAAAGTGCTGGGATTACAGGCTTGAGCCACCGCGCCCGGCCTCATAGGGTTTTAAGAAAGCTTATGAATCTGTGTTGGGCCACATGTGTCCCAGAGACCACGGGTCGGACAAGCTTGCACTAGAGCATCTGAGCTTTTGAGGGCTCAAGGGATGAGTACATCACAGATGCACTTGGTTTTGAGGGCTTCCTACATGTCAGCCTCACCTGTGTTTCTCATTCCTCCCCAGATTTTTGGATTCCTGGTTTGCATGGGGGTGATCCTGGCCATTGGCAATGCCATCTGGGAGCACGAGGTGGGGATGCGCTTCCAGGTCTACCTGCCGTGGGATGAGGCAGTGGACAGTGCCTTCTTCTCTGGCTTCCTCTCCTTCTGGTCCTACATCATCATCCTCAACACCGTTGTGCCCATTTCACTGTACGTCAGGTATGTGCCTTCTCTGCCCTGGGGTTTCTCCGGGGAGTCAGGTGGTCCCATAGAACTTTTCTTTTCTATGAAGATGAAGTCCTTGAGAAGTAACTTGAAGTCCTCTTCTTCCTGTACCGTAAACATTTGATGTTATCTGTTTATCTTTGTGGGCAGAGCAAACTTTTTACCACAGTTTCCTGGTACTTGGAACTGTATTAGAGAAAAAAAAATATTGATTTATTCAGCACCTGTTTATTACATGCCTCCTGTGTACAAAGAAGTGTGCTAGGTGCCATCACACATAAAAGATGAATTAGGAATGGATCTCCTTCCTTCTAGGTGCTTACATCTAGTAAAGGAAGGAAAATCTAAACACATTATAAAACAAAATAGGGACCAGTGCTGTAGAACTCGACCTAGAGTCTTCTGTGTGCAGCAAGGGGATACAGAGATGTATTAGGTGACCTCTGCCTTCAGCAGCAGCAGATGGATGGGTCGAGGAGGGGAGATCTAGACAGTGTCAGACTGAGATACCATGTGGGAGGCACAGGGTGCCGGGGGCTGGGAGGGTGTCACTCCCTAAGCAGGTAGGCAGGGAGGGAGAGATGGCATTTGCTCTGGGCTTTGAGTGGTGATTGGGCTGGGTGAAGGTGGAGCCGCAAAGGAGAGGAGGAGGGGAGGAGAGGGCTGGAAGCGTAGGTGTGGAGATGGGAGCCTGGGAATGGCCTGTGGAAATAGTTGGCCAGGGTCTTGGGCCAAGAGCGAGAGCTGGAAACATAGCTTGCTACTGATTGTGGAGGCTTTTGAATCTTTGCCTGTGGACTTTGTACTTACTAACTATTAAAAGTTATTAAAGAGACCAAGCACAGTGGCTCACGCCTGTAATCCCAGCACTTTGGGAGGCCAAGGTGGGCAGATCATGAGGTCAGGAATTCGAGACCATCCTGGCCAACATGGTGAAACCCTGTCTCTACTTAAAATACAAAAATCAGCCAGGTGTGGTGGCAGGTGCCTGTAATCCCAGCTACTCGGGAGGCTGAGGCAGGAGAATCGCTTGAAACCAGAAGGTGGAGGTAGCAGTGAGCCAAGATTTCACCCCTGCAGTCCAGCCTGGGCAACAAGAGCGAAACTCTGTCTCAAAAATCAAAATAAAGCAAACAAACAAACAAAAGTTTCTGAAGGAAGTGAAAAGAATGTATTCTATATTGTAAAAATGCATTCCAAGTGTCACAGCTCTTTTAGAATTTCCCTAGCAGGTTTTCCGGTTTTCACTGGAGCCCCTCCCCCACAAAAAGAAAAAAAAAAGCATTCTAAAAAAAATCTAAAGAATGCTTTAGGAAGTGTTGACTGGCAGTGGTGTACAGCATGAATAGGATCAAGGCGACATCTAGGATGTTTGAGGTAAAGAGAATGTTAGCAGGGACAGGCCAGTGAGAATGAAGGGGAGGAGGAGGAAGAGGAGGCAGGAAGAACGGCCAGGGGAAAGGAACTTTCTTGCTTAGTGTCTTGCCCTTGAGATAAGGGAACCTGTGACATTTTTAAGGAAATGTTTTATGGAGGTGCTGAAAACTTGTCCTGTCTCCCATCTTTTGTTCATACAGATTCCCCAAATAGCCCTCAACTCGTTCCCAGCCTCCAATCTTAACTGCTGGTGATAATAAATAGAAGATATAGCATTTCTCTGCTGAGGGAATACAGTTTAGGCTTTTCCAGGGTGTGAAAAGGAGAGTCAGAAGGTTCTGGGTTTAGTCCTGTCTCCTCAGTGGCCATGTGACCTCAGGAAAATCCAGTCACTCAGGGCCTCACTTGATCTCAGTTTTCCCGTGTGAAACAGGAACAGGAGTACTTGTCTCACCTTTTAATAGGATGTCTTGATATAAGATACTGGCTTAGAAGATAACATTTTAAACTTAAATGACTGTACAGTTATTGGGTGGTAGCCTGTTCGTCGTGACTGTTACCACTCCCTTCTGTATTACTATTTAAATGCCTTTTTGCTTACAACCTAATTTTGTTTTCCCACCTATGGGCTTTTGCTATCTGTGTTTTGTATCTCAGTTCACTTGAAGCCCTTGGAGCAGCTAAAACAGTTTTCTTTCTGAGTCTCATCAGGTCACAGTGTGTATGTTTGGGGGAGACTGAGAGGGGGTTGGAGAGCTGCGTGAGGAGAAGGCTCTTCGGAATGTGAAGACATTCCCATTTGCCTGGTAATGGGATCCTGATAGGAGCCTTAGTCAGGTGGGAAGCAGAGCTCCGGATATGGCCCCATTGCTTGGCTGCACTGGACCTAAACATGGCCCTTTCTGGAAATGCTAACAGTGCATATGATTAGCAAAGAAGAGGATATGAACAGACCTGGAGATGTTAAAGGCACTATATTGGCCTGGCACAGTGGCTGTCGCCTGTAATCCCAGCACTTTGGGAGGTGAAGGTGGGAGGATCTCTTGAGTTCAGGAATTCAACACCAGCATGAGCAAGATCCATCTCTATAAAAAATGAAAATTAGCCAGGTGTGGTGGCGTGCACCTGTAGTCCCAGCTACTGGGGAGGCTGTGGTGGGAGGATTGCTTGAGCCCAGGAGTTTGAGGCTACAGTGAGCTATGATTATGCTACTGCACTCCAGCTTGGGTGACAGAGACCCTAGCTCAAAAAACAAATGATCTAACCACCACCACCACAGAGCGCTGTGCTGTTGTGAAGTGGCGGTGTTCTGCAGATGCCTAGGGCCCTCTCTGTCTGGAGTCAGCACCTCAGCCCTGCCCCCTGTTCAGAATCAGGGATGTAGCGCTGCGATCCCAGGGTGGAAGGAGTGCACCTGCCTGTGCTGGGACAGTGAGGAGTGGGCTTCAAGCCTACTCCATTTCCCCTCCCTGGTGCGGCCCCTCTTTGAGGTGGCGTCTGCGTTGCTGTGGCATGCACAGCACGCTCATTATTTCTCTCTCTTTTTTCTCTCCCCTCCCTCTGGCACTTTCACTTGTTTTTCTCTGCATGGTTTCTGTATTATTAGTACTGAGGTAAGAACTGGCCGAGTGCCTTGTCTACAGCCCCTTCTCCTCCTTTGCTGTCTGTCCTGCCCACCCAGGCCCTTTGCCCCTTCTTGTCTGGAGAGCGTCAGGAGGGTCGGGTCGGGGCATTCCTCTGCTGGCTGTGTGCAGCCGTCTCCACCTTCAGGCTCTCCTTGCCCTTTCCCACCCAGGTTTCTGTGCCCAGGTGTCTTTCTCCGTTCTCGTCTCTCCCCAGGCGGAGGGCCTGCAGCGAAGGCCCGTGCGGGTGGGGCACCTCCTCCCCTTCCCGACCCAAGCTTCACCTCTTGTCCCCTGTGCAGTGTGGAGGTCATCCGTTTGGGCCACAGCTACTTCATCAACTGGGATAAGAAGATGTTCTGCATGAAGAAGCGGACGCCTGCAGAAGCCCGCACCACCACTCTAAACGAGGAGCTGGGCCAGGTGGAGTACATCTTCTCTGACAAGACGGGCACCCTCACTCAGAACATTATGGTTTTCAACAAGTGCTCCATCAATGGCCGCAGCTACGGTATGGTGGCACCACTGGGGACTGGACGCTTGCACCTCGCCTGGAAGGACAGTGGAACTGGGGCCCCACAGTTTCCTTAACATTGGTTTTTTCTTCCTTCCTAGTTGGGTCTGAGGGGCCTCGAAAGGGTCCATCCTGGCCAGGCACAGTGGCTCATGCCTGTAGTCACAGCACTTTGGGAGGCTGAGGTGGGAGTACTGCTTGAGCTCAGGAGTGCAAGACCAGCCTGGGCAACATAGTGAGACCCCATCCCTACAAAAAATTTAAAAATTAGCCAGGTGTGGTGGCACCTGTGGTCTCAGCTAGCCAGTGACTCAAGAGGCTGAGGTGGGAGGATCACTTGAGCCTGGGAGGTCAAGGCTACAGTGAGCCATGATCCTTTTACTGCACTCCAGCCTGTATGACAGAGTGAGGCCCCGTCTCTTGAGAAAAATTCACACACAAAGAAGAGGTCCATTCTGTGTCCCATGTCAGGAAGCAGATCCTGGCTGGGCGCAGTGGCTCACGCCTGTAATCCCAGCACTTTGGGAGGCTGAGGCGGGTGGATCACCTGAGGTCAAGAGTTCGAGACCATTCTGGCCAACACGGTGAAACCCAGTCTCTACTAAAAATACAAAAATTAGCTGGGCATGGTGGCAGGTGCCTGTAAGTCCAGCTACTTGGGGGGCTGAGGCAGGAGAATTGCTTGAACCCAGGAGGTGGAGGTTGCAGTGAGCCGAGTTTGTGCCATTGTACTCCAGCCTGGGCGACAAGAGTGAAACTCTATCTCAAAAAAAAAAAAAATTAGATTCTGAGAGTCCTCCCCTGATGCCCTGATCCTGGTCTCAGCTCCAGGAATTAGGGAGCTCCATGGCTGTTTGAAGTGAGACACTGGCCTCTGGGCATCCTGGCCAGGCAGAACCCTGCTGCACTCTCCCCTGTTGCTGCTCAGGGTCCTTGTGAGTCTGTGGAATGTGGCTGTGGTTGGACTTCCCAGTGTGGCCCTGCCTTAGTGGCCTGTGGCTGTGCTGCTGGGATGGCCTGGGGCAGCATGTGGGGCTGACTTTTATGCAGAGTGTGGACCCCTCTTGTAACTGCTTTCTGTACTGACCGATGCCTTTCAGTCAGTGTCTGAGCCTTGTCTGCTGCACAGGTCTAATGGGTGCAAGGAGGCCTGGGAGGTGTGGAATTGCAGCTGCCCTAAGGGGAGTGCCACCTAGGGTGGAGACAGGGATGGTGAGCAGTGGGTGCCGGGGCTCTTTCATGGCCAGGCCTTGGGGTTCTAGGGTCTAGGGTGCCTGCTGTCTCCTATCCCGCAAGGTCAGTAGTGTGACTGAGTGACTCACACTGTGACAGCTGCTCAGCGATTAGGGTTGAGGGGCTCAGTGGCTGTGGGGATTCTGTGTTGGAGGTGTTTTCCGTGCTCTGGAGTTCTCTGGCTCTGACATTGCTTCTTTTTCTGCCCTGGCTGTATGTAGGTGATGTGTTTGATGTCCTGGGACACAAAGCTGAATTGGGAGAGGTAAGATTCAGTCTCCCTAATTCTATGTGCCAGTGAAACAGGGTGCCTGGCCAGTAACAGTTAGTGTAGTCAGGAGTGATGTGTTGTCTGGATAGGAGATGGAAGCTGCTTGGAGAAATGGGTGTTTTAAGGCAGAACTGGTGATGACAGAATTGGAAATTTTGAGGTCCACCGTGGACAAGAGCCTACTAAGACGTGGGAGGGCAGGGATGAACACTTTCCCGGGATGCAGCCTGGCACCCCAGCCTTTCCTAAGAGCTTTCTTACGTGTTCCAGAGGCCTGAACCTGTCGACTTCTCCTTCAATCCTCTGGCTGACAAGAAGTTCTTATTTTGGGACCCCAGCCTCCTGGAGGCTGTCAAGATCGGGGACCCCCACACACATGAGTTCTTCCGCCTCCTTTCCCTGTGTCATACTGTCATGTCAGAAGAAAAGAACGAAGGTGGGCTGAGGAGCCGGCTCGCACTCTTCCGACCTGACTCTGCCCTTGGGCTCTGCTCTCCTCTGCAATGTGGCTGGGCTGGGGCTTCCTGGGCGGGGCACATGGCTGAGAGAGGCCACTTATATCACGTGTATTCTTCCTCCCCACCCAGGAGAGCTGTACTACAAAGCTCAGTCCCCAGATGAGGGGGCCCTGGTCACTGCAGCCAGGAACTTTGGTTTTGTTTTCCGCTCTCGCACCCCCAAGACGATCACTGTCCATGAGATGGGCACAGCCATCACCTACCAGCTGCTGGCCATCCTGGACTTCAACAATATCCGCAAGCGGATGTCAGTCATAGGTGAGGCCAGGACTAGGGTGCTGGGGCGTTTGGGGGCGGCATTAAGGCCTGGAATGGGTGAAGTGTGCCAGGTGACTCTTGATGTGTTTAGGTTGCCTGTCTGAATTTCTCTGGCACTCTCTCTACCTGCCCCATTCATAGTGCGGAATCCAGAGGGGAAGATCCGACTCTACTGCAAAGGGGCTGACACTATCCTGCTGGACAGACTGCACCACTCCACTCAAGAGCTGCTCAGCACCACCACGGACCACCTTAATGTGGGTGTGAGGAGAGGAGGGCCAGCCTGGGGGTTCTACTCTTAGTGTGGGGGAGGCGGCTTGTATGTTTTATTGTGTAAATGTAAGGTCTACAAAGTGATGTTTGGGTGTGTATATGTAGTGAAGTAATTACTACGGTCAGACACGTTAACACATCAGCCAGCTCCCATAGTTACCTCTTTGTGTGTGTGTGGTGAGGGTCCCTAACTGTGGAATGTGGCACACGCCCAGTCTACAGTGCAGGATTATTCATTGTCGCCCTCATGCTGTCCCTTAGCTCTCCAGACTTACCCAGGTGTGCCTTTCCACTCTGCCTCCAGGAGTACGCAGGGGAAGGGCTGAGGACCCTGGTGCTGGCCTACAAGGATCTGGATGAAGAGTACTATGAGGAGTGGGCTGAGCGACGCCTCCAAGCCAGCCTGGCCCAGGACAGCCGGGAGGACAGGCTGGCTAGCATCTACGAGGAGGTTGAGAACAACATGATGGTACGGGCTGTGGGACAGGCCAGGGGTGGGCACGGAGGGCTCATGCCTGCGACTCTTGTGCCAGGAATCCTTGTGGTATTTTCAGCTGCTGGGTGCAACGGCCATTGAGGACAAGCTTCAGCAAGGGGTTCCAGAGACCATTGCCCTCCTGACACTGGCCAACATCAAGATTTGGGTGCTAACCGGAGACAAGCAAGGTGAGAGCCCAGCAGGGCAGAGGCAGTTGCAACTGACAGTAGCCCTGTTGGACCCTTGCATGGAGCCGAGGACATCAGGCAGGCGAGTGTGCTGACCTTGTTGGGTGCCTGTCCGTAGCTCCTGCGTTCTCTCTTGGTAGAGACGGCTGTGAACATCGGCTATTCCTGCAAGATGCTGACGGACGACATGACCGAGGTGTTCATAGTCACTGGCCATACTGTCCTGGAGGTGCGGGAGGAGCTCAGGTAAACAAGAAGCCTGAGGGAGGCGGTGCTCTGCATTGTGCTCAGGGCTCAGGCGGGGGTTTCTGGACCCTGTTTAGGCTTGAATCCCTGCTCCCCACTGCCGTCCTGAAAGACCACAAGCATATCATTTCCGCCTCGACAGGAAAGCCCGGGAGAAGATGATGGATTCATCCCGCTCCGTAGGCAACGGCTTCACCTACCAGGAGAAGCTTTCTTCTTCCAAGCTAACTTCTGTCCTGGAGGCCGTTGCTGGGGAGTACGCCCTGGTCATCAATGGTCACAGCCTGGTAGGCATCGCTGTCCTTAGCTTGGGCAGTGTCTTTTCAGGGAGCACTTCTGTCCAGGGCTTTTATATCTTGTTTTAATTTCCCCTGACTTCAGAGAAGACTCTGGTCTCAAAGGGGACTGGGAGGAGCTGAGACTCCCAGGTGTCTCCTGGAAAGACTGGCTTTCTCAGGTTTCTCTGTGCTCCAGGCCCACGCACTGGAGGCGGACATGGAGCTGGAGTTTCTGGAGACAGCATGTGCCTGCAAAGCTGTCATCTGCTGCCGGGTGACCCCCTTGCAGAAGGCCCAGGTGGTAGAACTGGTCAAGAAGTACAAGAAGGCTGTGACGCTTGCCATTGGAGACGGAGCCAATGATGTCAGCATGATCAAAAGTGAGTGTGGGCTATGCAGGTGTGTAGGTCGGGCTTGAGGCTGGGGAGGGGCCCACTGGGGTCTCTGGACTGCAGAAGAATGATGGGAAGGGGGTTGTAACTTGGTAGGCTCTAAAGTGTGTGGCCGGTGGCCATCTTCACCCTCTTGTCATCTCTTGTCTCTGCAGCGGCTCACATTGGTGTGGGCATCAGTGGGCAGGAAGGGATCCAGGCTGTCTTGGCCTCCGACTACTCCTTCTCCCAGTTCAAGTTCCTGCAGCGCCTTTTGCTGGTGCATGGGCGCTGGTCCTACCTGCGAATGTGCAAGTTTCTTTGCTATTTCTTCTACAAAAACTTTGCTTTCACCATGGTCCACTTCTGGTTTGGCTTCTTCTGCGGCTTCTCAGCCCAGGTAATAAGTGTTCCCGGTCCACTGTAGTGCAAATCTGTTAACCTGAGTGCAGAGGTTCTATCTGTCTTGTTTATCACTCAGTCCCCCAGGGCCTAGCTATTTTCTGGTACATACTTTTTAAAAATGCTTATTAAAGGAGGAGAGAAGGAGCCTGAGAAAATTTCTTTGGGTTCTCTGTATGTGACATCAGCTGTCTTCCTGTGCCTGATGTGTAGCAAAGAAAGGTTGCGTGCTCCCTTGCTCCCTGTTCTCTTCCAGACCGTCTATGACCAGTATTTCATCACCCTGTATAACATCGTGTACACCTCCCTGCCAGTCCTGGCTATGGGGGTCTTTGATCAGGTATGGGGGAGTTTGATGATCAGATGGGATGCGGGGAAGGTCACTGCTTGAAGGAGTCACATAGACAGGTGTGACACTTGTGCCCATTGTCTGTGGCCACTGGGAAGGCAGTTCTTTCAGCTGGGGAAGGTGTGACTGGTTCTCCCTCCTGGTTGCAGCTGATCTAGAACTCTCTTGGGTTGCTGAACTAAGTTAGACGGGGGGTACCTGGCTTGAGGTTGGTTCTAGCTGCCAAAGACTTTGGAAAGAAGGAGGCAGGGACAGAGTCTGCCCTTGGCCTTGTGGAGTCAAAATGGCAACCTCTGAGGCCCCCTATGCTACATGGTCCTCCCACACAGGATGTCCCTGAGCAGCGGAGCATGGAGTACCCTAAGCTGTATGAGCCGGGCCAGCTGAACCTTCTCTTCAACAAGCGGGAGTTCTTCATCTGCATCGCCCAGGGCATCTACACCTCCGTGCTCATGTTCTTCATTCCCTACGGGGTGTTTGCCGATGCCACCCGGGATGATGGCACCCAGCTGGCTGACTACCAGTCCTTTGCAGTCACTGTGGCCACATCCCTGGTCATTGTGGTTAGCGTGCAGGTATGAGGCCGTCCAGGAACTCCCCTCTTCTCTGGAAGGAGTGAGCCTTCTGTCCCTGGGGCTGCCGTGGGCACCACAGTTCTGTTTCTGGGTGAAGGGGTTTTTAGGGGGTGCACCTGCCTGATTATGCCTACTTTCTGCAGATTGGGCTGGACACAGGCTACTGGACGGCCATCAACCACTTCTTCATCTGGGGCAGCCTTGCTGTTTACTTTGCCATCCTCTTTGCCATGCACAGCAATGGGCTCTTCGACATGTTTCCCAACCAGTTCCGGTTCGTGGGTAAGTCCCCGTGGCCTCCTTGAATCAGTGAGGAATCACAGCTTTTCCGGGACTAACAGGACGGTCAGCCAATCTGCACATTTCAACATTTCTTATGTGCCAAGTATTCAGTGAGGTGCTGAGGGAATATCAAGTTATATCTGACCCAGGCCTTGCCCCCAAAGAGCTTCCATATCCATGAAAGTGAAGAACAGCCCTGCCAGACCATGGAAGGCCAGGCTTCATGGTCAGTAGAGTTGCTTTTGTTGAGTTAGCCAGGGACAGTTCCAGAGAGGGGGCTGCTGTGAGTGGAGGCAGGACTGGGGAGTCAGATTCCAAGTTGGAGAGCTGGAGGTGTTTGTAGGGAATGGAGACTGCTCCAGGTAGAATGGGCAAGAATGCTCATTGAGAAGCAGTGGGGGAGAGGCTGGAAAGGTGGAGCATTTGAGGTGTCAGAACGCCAGGCTGTCAGGATTGCATCCAACTTGCTGGGAGTCTTGATTCATTTATTTAGAGGAAGAGGAGGGAGCAGCATCAAAAGACTGCTTGAGAAAGATGAAGCTGGTGTTGACGTCCAGCAAGGAAGTTACCAGAGTGACCAGTGCAAACTGGTTCAGAATTGGTGCCACAGTGGCCGTGGTGGGTGGCAAAGAGGTGGGAGGTATGAAGTGAAGGAAGTATTTACAGATCTTGGCATTTGCTTCAGATCTGTTTGTTCATTTATCACACGAGCAATTTTTTTTTTTTTTTTGAGACAGTCTCGCTCTGTTGCCCAGGCTGGAATGCAGTGGCGCGATCTCTGCTCACTGCAAATTCCGCCTCCCAGTCTCAAGCGATTCTCCTGCCTCAGTCTCCCGAGTAGCTGGGACTATAGGCGCCCACCACCATGCCTGGCTAACCTGGCTAATTTTTGTATTTTTAGTAGAGGTGGAGTTTCACCGTGTTAGCCAGGATGATCTCAATTTCCTGACCTCATGATCCGCCTGCCTCGGCCTCCCAAAGTGCTGGGATTACAGGTGCGAGCCACCGTGCCCAGCCCACACAAGCATTTTATAGCACCTAGTATGTGACCCGTTATTCTGAATGCCCGGGGGGGGGGGCAGCAATTAACCAACAGGTGGAAGCGGTTGCCCTCCTGGATTTTATATATGAGAGAGACAGATAATTTATACATGAACAGATATAATGTCTGGAACTAATAAGTCCTTTAAGAAACATCAAGTGGGCTAGAGAGTGACAAGCATTGTTAGCAAAGACCTCTTGTGGAAGGGACATTGGTACAGATACTTTTTTTTTTTTTTTGAGACAGTCTCACTCTGTCGCCCAGGCTGGAATGCAGTGGCATGATCTTGGCTCATTGCAACCTCTGCCTCCTGGGTTCAAGTGATTCTTCTGCTTCAGCCTCCCAAGTAGCTGAGATTACAGGTACCTGCCACCACGCCTGGCTCATTTTTGTATTTTTAGTAGAGATGGGGTTTCACCATTTTGGCCAGGCTGGTCTTAAACTCCTGACCTCAAGCGATCCACCCACCTCGGCCTCCCAAAGTGCTGGGATTACAGGTGTGAGCCACCGCGCCCAGCTGGCACAGAGAAATCTGAATAAAGGGAAAAGGAGCCTGCCATGTGGCTCTCTGGGAACCGTCAATCCAAAAAGAGGAAACAGCAATATATACAAAGGCCTTCAGCCCGGGCCTGGGAGGAGGTCTTCTGCACGTGGAGCTGGGGAGCTGGGGAGGAAATGAGTTGGAGGGTGGGGGTGTGGAATCATTCTGGATTATTTAAGCCCTTATGGGTTTATTAAAATATTAAAAACTTTGAATTTTTAATATTAATCTAAATGTGAGAGGAAGCCATTGGAGGGTTTTGAGCAGAGAGATACCATAAGCTTACAATGTTTTTAAAGGGCCACTCTTACAGTTTTGTGGATTATAAAGCGTAGGGGGCAAGGGTGGAAATGGGAGACTAGTTAGGTGAGAGCCTGATGAGGGCTTAGAATAGAGTAAAAGGCCGTGGGATTCCAGAGATGTTTTGAAAATGGAACCAACAGATTGAATGTGGGCTCCAAAGAAGAGAGAAAAATGAATCAAAACAAAACAAAATTTTAAAAAGAAATGAATCAAGATCCATCGCGGGGTTTTTAGTTGGAGCAACTGAATGCGTTGTGGCATTTCCTGAGCTGAGAAAGACCCGGATCAGATTTGGGGGAAGGAAACAATAGTTGAGTTTGGGCCACGGGAAATTCGAGATGCCTGGTAGATGTTCAACAGACATGTCAAGTCTGGCAATTGAAGCAGCAGGTCTGGAGCTCTGAGGGAGTTTGGAACTAAATTTGGAGATCTACATTTGGAGGGTGAGCCTGGAGAAGCGGGAAGCCAGAGGTGACTTAGGCTTTGAGAGTGGGGAAGTGGAGCTGCCAGAAATGGGAATGGGGAACGTCCGCCTTGTGACTCCCAAGGCCACCAACTCCTCTCCATCCCCAGGGAATGCCCAGAACACCTTGGCCCAGCCCACGGTGTGGCTGACCATCGTGCTTACCACGGTCGTCTGCATCATGCCCGTGGTTGCCTTTAGATTCCTCAGGCTCAACCTGAAGCCGGATCTCTCTGACACGGTGAGAAGCTGGGCTACCTGCTGTGGGAGGCAGAGATGGGATGGCCCGAAAGGCCTCGTGTGAACCCTGGGGGGCTCTGTGGGGCCGTGTGGCTGCTCAGTGTGTTGGTGCTTATCTGCTCTTCCTGGGGACAGACACCGTGTGCAGCTGGCCGCGGAGGCCTCTGCGTCAGCCTGGTCCTGGGTGCTGTGGGTCCCTTCTCCTTGGCGATGTCTGACACCTCCACGATGACAGAGGGCTCTTCCCTGTGCCCCTCTGCAGGTCCGCTACACGCAGCTGGTGAGGAAGAAGCAGAAAGCCCAGCACCGCTGCATGCGGCGGGTTGGCCGCACGGGCTCCCGGCGCTCCGGCTATGCCTTCTCCCACCAGGAGGGCTTCGGGGAGCTCATCATGTCTGGCAAGAACATGCGGCTGAGCTCCCTCGCGCTCTCCAGCTTCACCACCCGCTCCAGCTCTAGCTGGATTGAGAGCCTGCGCAGGAAAAAGAGTGACAGTGCCAGTAGCCCCAGTGGCGGTGCCGACAAGCCTCTCAAGGGCTGAAGGCCGAAGATGGATGCCCTGTGCCAGTGACCAGAGCACTCGGGGCTGGCCAGTCACTGAGGGAACAGTGTCTCGGAACTGCTGGTCCTCACTCCTTGCCTCCTGTCCCCCCGGTAGACTCTGTCCTGCTGGTCCCACCACACATGGCTGGGACATCCGTTCCCAGCTGCAGGCCCTTCCATCAGCTGGGGAGCTAGAGGGAGCAGACCCAAGGGCAGAGCAGAGGCTGAGGCACGGGGAGCCAGCCCCAGTTGGGGACCAGATGTAGAACCAAAAACAAGAAAAAACTGTGAGAGATTGCGTCTGCCCCTGCCCTGCTTGGGACCCACAGGGAGACTATAATCTCCTTATTTTTTTACTCCTACTCCCCAGAGGGGCCCTAGTGCCTCTGTTCCTGAATTACACAAGAATGTACCATGCCGGGAAGCCAGAGACCTGCGGGGGCCTCGGCCCCTCACATTGTGTATGTCTCTCCTTGATTTGTGTTGTGTCCAGTTTGGTTTTGTCTTTTTTATTTGGCAAGTGGAGGAGGCTTTTATGTGACTTTTATGTTGTGGTTGGTGTCTTAACTCTCCTGGGAAGAGGAGGCTGGCACACACTGGGATGCCGCAGCCTGGCCGGCTGTGGGGTGGTTTGGGAGGATCCATGTCAGCTCTCCCTGCAGTGACCAGTGCTCTGTGGGACAGAGGAGCTGACCAGGGAGGGAGGTACCCATCAGCAGAGGGTGGTGGGAGAGTGTGAAGGAGGGTTTGGTCCTGTCTGCTTCCTCACCTTGAGAGTAAAGTGCTGCCCTCTGCCCCTAACACACATACATATCAATTCCTGGATTCCTTAGTCCTGCTGGCCTTGGGCTGGAGCCTAGGAAAGTGGCCCCCAAATCCTTAGTGAGCTAAAGCTGGGTCTGAAATTTGGTCAGTGGGGAGGGGTAGTTTTCTTTTTTCTTTTTCTTTTGTTTTTGAGATGGAGTCTCACTCTTGTCATCCAGGCAAGAGTGCAATGGCACGATCTCGGCTCACTGCAACCTCCGCCTCCCGGGTTCAAGCGATTCTCCTGCCTCAACCTCCTGAGTAGCTGGGATTACAGGCGCACACCACCACGCTCGGCTAATTTTTGTATTTTTAGTAGAGATGGGGTTTCACCATGTTGGCCAGGGTGGTCTCAAACTCCTGACCTCGTGATCTGCCCACCTCAGCCTCCCAAAGTGCTGAGATTACAGGCGTGAGCCACCATGCCCAGCTAGGGGAGGGGTAGTTTTCTTTGATTTTAAATTTAAACCCAAGTTTATTGGCAGACTCCCTTTTGACCTCCCTTTGCCTCCCCATCTGGTGCTTTCTTGCACCTATACCCCAGGGCCCTGTGGTGGGGCTACAGGGGGAAACTGTGCACCTGAGATGAGGCTGGAACAGGAATCGGCCTCTCTGCTCCCTTCTTCAGTAAGCAAGGAGCCCTGCCCCTCAGGCCCAGCCTCTGGCAGGAGGTGGTGGAGTCCTTGTGCCAGGTAGTAGAGGAGGAGAAGGGCAAAACCAGGCCCAGGCCAGCGCCTGGCTTGGTCTGGATGGGACACTGTCGGAGTTTGGCCACAGCCTGTCCTTTACTTCGTCCACACCTGTGAAGCTATTCCCTAAATGAGGTATTTCCCAAGTTAGTCGCTACCTAATCAGCCTTGAGAAGAATCCTTTCCTCTTCTTTGGTAGTGGGTCGGGGGATACTTCAGGAATGGTGTGGAGCTGGGAGTGGGTAGGGGGATTTTAAATGTTCCATGTGGGAGCCCCGAAGGAACTGGAGGGGCTGCAGTGAGGTGGGGGTGGGTGGGCAGGGAATGGGCGAGGGGAAGTCTTGGCAGGGAAATCCCTTTTGGCCACACAGTTTACAAACCCAGTATCATGTCTGTCTGTGTGTCTCTCAAGGTGAGAGTCTGATTTTTATACCAAAGAGGAAATGATTTTTTTTCATATTTTGTTTGTCTATATTATATAAATATATATATATACAGTTATATATATATTATTTTTTGGTTCTCTCTCGTTTTTTAGGGAGGGAAGAAAGTACCAAGTTGCATTGAGCTGTAATTAAGGAACATTATAATTTATGACACATTTCTATACTTGCAAAAATTATATCATTTTATGGATATAAGAGAAAATGCCTTTTTATAAAATTTCAATTTCTGAGAAGTGTGTAATTTGTCTCTTTTCTGATGTTTAACCAAGGCTGGTGGTGAAAGTAAAGACAGAAACTGTCTCTTAAATGTAATTGAGTGGGTAGATCTGGGATATCGTGGACAAACTGGAATCTGACTGGTGGGGGATAGCACCTCGCTCATTTGCAGACTTCCCGGGATCTGAGTTTCAGCTGAAGATGAAGATGGGGCAGTGGGTGGTACCGAACGGCATATCGTATGGACTTTGGCTGGGTGCCTAGGACCTTGAACTGTTTACCTTTTCTCCAAACACAGGCCAGCCTCTAATCCCTGACACATGCCAGATGGATGTGTGTGTTGGCAAAGTACGTGATAAATATTTTAAGGTTTTGTTTTTTAACGCCCCGCTTTTCTGCATGCCTCACATCTTCCTGGCTTCTCAAGTGAGTATCAAGGAAGCTAAGTCTTACATTAAAGGGAGCTTTCCTCCAGGGAAGGGAGGGCGGATGAGGATGGGGTCCTAGGAGTCAGGGCTAGGGTTAGTGCTGGCCTGAGGAGAAAGAAGTATGGCTTCCTCCACTGATGGTCAATATCAGCATGATCCAGCCCCACCCACAGGCTGATTTCCCCCTGACCCAGCCAGAACAATCCTTCTCAAAAATGTAGACTGGATGCGGTGGCTCAAAGCCTGTCATCCAAGCACTTTGGGAGGCTGAGGCAGGAGGACCACTTGAGCCCAGCCCAGTTCAAGACCAGCCTGGGCAACATGGGGAGACCCCGCCTGTATTAAAAAAAAAAAAAAAAAGGGGGGGTGCGGCGGAGGGTGTATGGGGGAAAGATGTGAAGATAAGATCTATTTCCCTCTTCAGGAGAAACGGCCCCCGGCGGGAATCCCGCCACTGACCCCCAGGAACACCACCTGACACCCACCTCCACCCAGGAGAGGCTGTCCAGTCCACACCAGCCTTTCTTTGGGGTCTGTCTGGAAGCCTGAGCTTTGGGCAGCAAGTGGCATCCGGCCTCAGTGCCCCCACCAGCGAAACAGAAAGAGGTCTTAATCCCTTGAGGCTGGTGAAGCCCCAACTCCACCCCTCCCCCAAGACGGGTCTTCAGCACTGCGCTGGCCTCCCGCTGGGGGTCTGTTCAGCCGCTGGGAATGTCTTCCCTGGCTCCTCTCGCTGACCCGGGCTCTCCTGCACCCAGGATCCTATTAGGTGTGTCTGAGCGGCAGGGCCAATGTCATTTTAACTTTCTTTCATCTTGGGGACGCGTTTTCTCCGTCGCGATATAGACACACGCCTCCACGGAGGCTCCGGACACTCGGCTCCCCGTTTTCTCCCCTCTGCCTCAGGCATCCCTGGTCTTCCTTCCCTGTGCTGACTGAGCACTTGGGCTCCTGTTGGAGTGGCTTCCAGCCCCTAGGGCCCCATCGTCCTAGTGCCTTTTCTGAGTGCGTGGAGGTGAAGTCCGTCCGATACCCCATCTTTGTTCCACTGAGCTCCTTATCTCCAAAGGCCTTCCTCTCCACTCCGCTAAAGCAGCACACACCCATGGGCGCCCACTGCCGTCGGGAGGAGCTCCACCTGTGAACTCTCCCAATTCATTCAGCATTTGGCCATCCATATTCTTCAATTCTTCCCCCTTCCATCTGTGCTTCCAGCGCAAACAACGGCCCCTCCCATTCCTCCTGGTCGCTTGCTTACTTTTGTGAACTTGCTTTCCAATTCAGTCCGGAGCCCGTGGTCTGATACTCGTCGCTCTGCCCCGGAACATTCCAGCCTTGGGTCAGCCCAGCGTCTCCCAGGGTGAGCTGTGGAATGCTGAAGGGCAGCACACAACCACGGAGCAAGAGGAGCGGCAGCTGCACGGGCTCCCTCTGCAGGCGCCTCTGTACGGTTAGGAGATGCTGGGAACCTCATTCTCCTGCCCCTCCCTCAACTCCTGCCACCACCTCCCACCCTGCTCTCAGCAGATGGTTCTGCCTCCTACTTCACGGGGCAAAATAACTTCTGCGGCTTTCCTCTCACCTACAAATCTCACTGCGCACAGGCGCGCCGGCCTTCCCCTTTCCTTTCCCCTGCCTAGGGAGGCTGGGCCCTCCTAACCTGCTCCCTGTGGCCCACCACTGCCCCTTCCATTGTCCTTCACCGGGACCCTCTCTTGACCTTGCCTTCATTTCCCCCTCCGTTGATTCTTTCCTTCCCCAAATTAGCCTGCTCAGTTTTCTTCCCCCTCACCCGACCCCTAACCCCTATCAACTCTTTTGTGGTCTGTGTCCCTCACATTAGCCTCTCTCTTATCTCCTCCACTGCCTGTAATCTGGCGTCTCCTTCACCAGCCCCTGAAATGCTTTCACTAAAATCACCTTTGACCTTCATGTTGGCCAAGTCCAGAAGGCATTTCCAGGTCTGATCTGACTTGCAATCTCTTAGTCATTTGACTGTGTTGGCTGCCTTCTCCTTGAAACTCTGCCCTCTGCTGACTTTGTTCCACCTTCTCTTGGTAACCGCTGCCTCTCTGGTTGATCCTTCCATCTCCTTCTTTGGAGCTCCTTCCTCTGTTCTTCTTCCCACCATGCCCCAGGACTCCATCCTTGGCTCTAAGCTTTTCTGGTCTGTTCAGGGTCCTTGAAGGTCCCCGTGCAAATCCATGGTTTAAATAAGATTTGTTTAAACAAATAAGATTTAACAATTAAATGGAGAGTCACCATTGTTCACCTCTAGATTGGACTTCTTTCTCTCACTCCACGCTCCAGACCCTGTATTCAATTATCCATTGGACCTCTCCACTAGGACGACCCACCACCACCTCATATTCAACATACCCCACACTGAACATTGTTTTTCCCAACACCCGTTGCTCCTCCCGCATCCTCTATTTCAGTGCGCAGCATACAATCTCACCAGTCACCAAAACAAAGCCAGACGCACATGTCCTGGAGAAAACATGTGCCACAACACTCTGGGGCCACAACACTGTAAATCATATATTTCATCTTCTTTGATGTGGAGCACGAAATGATTAAGCTGCAATGTCCTGAGCCACTGTTTCCCAGTGATTGTGACCCAGGCAGGGTCACGACAGCCATATTTCTGTCCCCAAAGAGGGGCTATTTAGGTTGGGACTCAAAACACAAAGAAAATCTGCCACGAAGGTTCAGTATCACTTTCCTTGGTCCCAAAAGAGAAACTGGAGAGACCAGAGTGCTCAGATTAACAGGCAGGCAGCTGCAGCGTCCCGTGGTAGCCACCCCGCAGAACATGGGGGAGGGACTCACTGATAAAGCACCAGGACTACTGACTGTAGTCTCTACTTCAAAGGGAGCAAGCCATTGACGGAGATGCACTAAACACTGGGCTCTGTGACTGAAGGAAGGAGCTGAGTTCTCCCGCTTATCTCTGTTCCAGTGTCCTTTCTTGAAGGACTGTGTCCTGACCACAGTGACAGACATGACCTGTCTGACCTTTCCAACCCTTCCTGGAAACTTTCCAGTTCTCAGTGAGTTGCTGGGAGCTGCCCTGCCCAGCACCTGCCTGGGGAGGGTGTAGACTTATCTTGCCGGGTTGAAAGAGGGAAGTCTTCCCCAATACTAGTCTGTTAAAACACACTGGGCGGGGCGCTGTAGCTCACGCCTGTAATCCCAGCACTTTGGGAGGCCAAAGCGGGTGGATCGTCTGAGGTCAGGAGTTTGAGACCAGCCTGACCAAAACGGCTTAACCCTGTCTATACAAAAAATACAAAAAATTAGCTGGGCATGGTGGCAGACACCTGTAATCCCAGCTACTCGGGAGGCTGAGGCAGGAGAATCATTTGAACCTGGGAGGCGGAGGTTGCATTGAGCCAAGCTCATGCCATTGAACTCTAGCCTGGGCAACAAGAGCGAAACTCCATCTAAAAACAACAACAACAACAACAACAAAACAAAAACACACACACAGTGGCCCAGCACAGTGGCTCACGCCTGTAACTCCAGCACTTTGGGAGACCAAGGCAGGCAGATCGCTTGAGGCCAGGAGTTCTAGACCAGTCTGGCCAACATGGTGAAACCCTGTCTCTACTAAAAATACGAAAATTAGCCGGGTGTCCTGGCACGCCCCTGTAATCCCACTTACTCGGGAGGCTGAGGCAGGAGAGTGACTTGAACCCAGGAGGCAGAGGTTGTAGTGAGCCGAGATTGCACCGCTATACTTCAGCCTGGGCGACAGAGCAAGACTCCTTTCTATAAAAATAAAATAACAAAACAAAACAAAACACACACACAGAGACACACACATGCACTCTCTCTCTCCAAAACGTGATGGAGTGTCTCCTCTTAAGAAAGGAGTGTTTGCCGGGCGCGGTGGCTCAAGCCTGTAATCCCAGCACTTTGGGAGGCCGAGACGGGCGGATCATGAGGTCAGGAGATCGAGACCATCCTGGCGAACACGGTGAAACCCCGTCTCTACTAAAAAATACAAAAAACTAGCCGGGCGAGGTGGCGGGCGCCTGTAGTCCCAGCTACTCGGGAGGCTGAGGCAGGAGAATGGCGTAAACCCGGGAGGCGGAGCTTGCAGTGAGCTGAGATCTGGCCACTGCACTCCCACCTGGGTGACAGAGCGAGACTCCGTCTCAAAAAAAAAAAAAAAAAGGAGTGTTTTTGGACACAGAAAGAGGGAGTTCCTCCAGCCTAGCACAGCCTGCATTTGGCCTGGGCTGGAAATTCTGCAGAAATCTTCCACCCTGCTACTGGGAATAGGACTGGGAGGCCTGAGCCGTGTTTTCTGTCTCTCGGGGCCCAGCAGGGACTTGTGTGGGCCCCAGGACTGGGGCAAGGAGGAGAGGATGCCCAGGTTTACTCAAGGGCATGCAGGAGGTGAGGAGGGGGTGACAGGTGGAAGGAAAGGACCATGTCTCACTCCCCACTCCTTCCTCACGGGCTGCTCTTCATTTTACTCGCAGCCCCGCAGTGTACAGCTACAAGCTGGGGGTGCCGCTTTTTCTGGTCCCCCACTACCTTGGGTGCAGCACTTCTGCCAGAACCTTCTGGGCGCCTGC